GACATTGAGAGCTTAAATAACTTGCTCAAGTCAACGTGTAGTCATCTTTTACTGCATAACAAAATTACCCCCAAAACCTAGCAACAGAAAAGAATTGTTTATTTTCTCAACAGCCCCTGAGGGTCAGGAATCCAGGAGCACTTAGCTGGGTAGCTCTGGCTCAGGGTCTCATGCTGTGTCATGAGGTTTCTCTCAGTCTCTTGGGCTGAGGGTCTCAGTTCTGTACCACAGGTGCCTCTCCACAAGTCTGCTGATGTGTCCTGGAGACATGGCTTTTCCCAGAGTGAGTGATCTAAATGAGAGAGAGAGAGAGAGCGAGAGAGCGAGAGAGCGAGAGAGAGAGAGAGCGAGAGAGCGAGAGAGAGAGAGAGAGAGAGAGAGAGAGAGAGGGAGAGAGGGAGAGAGGAGAGAGGGAGAGAGAGAGAGAGAGGGATCTTTCTAGCCTAATTTTGGAAGCGACATACCATCACTTCTACTATGTTCTCTTGCTCATCATATCAACCCTGGTGACATGTGACAGGGAACTTCACAGGATGTGAAGACCCATGAGGTGGGAATCCACTGGGAGGTGTCTAGATACTGACTGTGACACTGATTCACTATCGAGTGGCACAACTGGATAATGAACCCAGGCAATGTGACCTCAGTGCTTGGCTCTTTACCACTCTGTTCAGAATAATTATAGAACATGTACTGGTAAATGTTGTTACTTTTTCTAACGGGGACGTTGGTGGCATGCTGGATACGTGTGAATGCCATTCAGTGAGAATTCCTTGTCAAAGGGTACCTGAAAGTGTGAAGGAGAAAAGAATATTTACCAAAGGCAATAGACACTAAATTTCCAAATAGTCCAGATTATATACAGGTTATTATTGCAGAAAAGAGCTGGTAAGAAGCAGAATGGGAAATCATTTCACTGAAAATCTTTTCACTTCAAAAATATTACTTTTACTATTTGTCCAACTTGCCTCCTCAACAAATCTCTCAATTTCGTCAAATATCATGTTGAGAAATACTTACAGAGGGCCCCATTTCTTAAAATTGTAACTTTAAAAGAAATTTTTCACTTGAGATTCCATACAGGTCGCAATCCATGCTAACATTTTTTAAAATGTAAAAGTTTTCAAATACCAACGTGTCCTGTTCAGGGATCTAAGTAATTTGGCAAGGGAATGTCTACTTGAAAAATCTTGGTGCATCAGTGTGAGATATAAATTCAATTGCCTGCAAGCTGTGTGAGAACAGACTTTTTTTGTTGTTGTTCGTATTTGGCCACAGAGCAGAGATTTATTGAAAATGCTTGATGATATCGCTCTGAGCTGTTTTACATAAACATAGCAATGCTGTGAATGCTTTGAATGTAGTGTGACTGTGTATGTGTGCTTTAGGATCTCCAAACTGACATCTAGGGGGGAAATACCAAAAAACTCATCAATACAGTGTTATACCAAACTTTAGAATGATTCTTTTTGCAACAACTCTCTTACAAGTATAGACTTTTATGCCCTTTGAGAAATGAATCGTGGGTCAAAATACCTGAAGACTATGTCATGTCAGGAAATAAAATGAGAATTTTTGACATGCAGAAACATACAACAAGTTTATTACTTTTAAAAAGACTTTGTTGTTTGCAAACCTTTTGCACCCAGGTGAGTAGCCCAAATGCAAAACGCTTAGAAAGTGAAATTTCTTTCTTCAGTAATGAAGGATTTGGAACTGGAATATAAATTTAGTCTTGTGGTTCTCTCATTTCTCTAACTTATAGATTCGTGGCTTGCCAAGTTATTCTACATGTTTCCATTCAAATGTATTCAGCTCCAGTCAGGAGATGTTTATGAAATTCTTATTCTAAATGTATTAGAAAATATTGGTTAAGTTCAAATAATATTGATAAGGAAATGTGCACCATTTGTGGAGCGAGTGCCTTCTATATCTAAGGGAAACTCTTGGTATCACGTTTATTTATGAGTGAAAATTGTCAACACAGGGAAGGTTTTGCAATCTACCAGTCAGCCTTAATGACTAGGCAATGATACTGTTTGATTAGTAAGATGGGTGAAATCATTAAACTGACTGTCTCAAAGACTGTATTTTTCAGTTGTATAAAAACACACTTTATGTAATTATATAACTCTTATTTACAAATGTATTCAAGTCTATTGTTATTATTAGTAGTATTAATTATTACTCTAGTAGCTATACATCCCAAGAGAGTAAATAACATATCAAATCACTTAAAAAGTTTCCAGTGAGTTAAAATGACAGACTTATAAATATTACTTATAGAAAATTCTTCCTATTAACTCACTTGAAAAATATATCTCTAGGACTGCACTGTCAAAGACACAAAGACTACAAACACACTCTTCAAGGAATTTATAATCATTTGGCTAGTATCTGGCTTGTAACTCTCATTCTTTTTAAAAGTTTCCTTGTAATTTTTTTCCTTTTCTTTTTCTAGAGTCTGTTTGTGTATTTGTATATCCAGTTACTCTTTATAAAATACCTTTATTGAGGTATTGTGCTACATACCATTTATTTTCAAATTTACACTCAAGTCTTTCCAAAACTTATTTAGAGAAACTTTGTATCATCACACATTTTTAATTTAACATTTAAAATATTGTAAGTTAAATATCTGTGCAAGATGTAATTTACCACTCTTTTAAATAAATCCAAAAGCATAAAAATACCATAGCGATTTGATATCCACCATTATTCATTTACAAAATACATGAGGAAGCTCCTCTTTTACAAAGAAGAATTTATATCACTCATTTTTCCCCTTAAACTAGTACTGGCAATTCACTTTTACCACAGAATAATATACAGATGGCATCTATTTTTGTGACTTAGTATCTTTTATTCATCATTTATCTTATTTGTTTACAATATAATATTTTTATGAACTGAAGTTGTATGTTTATATTTTTAACAGCTAATTTTTTTCTTCTGGGTTGAGTTAACATTACAGTTATTATTTCTGCACAATTGTATATAAAGTCAGATTTTATTAGAAATCTATCACTTAAGGATATATGTGAAGTTTTTTAAATACACTTATTTCATATATCTGTGGATGAGTGTTACTTATTGCATAACTTGTTTTCCAGTGTTTTATTTTATTGACGTAAATACTGAGAAATTTGTTTGCATGTCTATGTGGGTGAGAGTTATAACAATAATTTTCTTTTAACCTGAGCCATCCTGCCACCTGTTGGCAGCTCAGCGGCAGCTCAGCTTGGGTGGGAATCGAACCGCTGTTGCTCAGAGCTTGCACTCTTGAGCGAGCTCTTAACCAACTGAGCCACTCAGCCGGCCCATATAAGATTTTTATAGCAATCACTCAATGATTTGAACTCCTTCCAAATTACATGCCAAAATTATGCTGTGAACTCTCACCAACAGTTATTTTTAATAGTAGATCAACTAACAACTAGGTATTATCCTCTTTCAGTTACATTGAAAGTAAAAGTTTTAGAAACTATCTGACTTTCAAAAGTATTTGTTACTTATTCAAGTTATTTATTAGTCTCATTTTCTAGGAGGTACACCTATAAAGTACTTTTATAAGGTACTTTGTCTAATACAGTGTATTAAGACAGGATTGAAAACATTGAAATATCACTTATAATACACCTTCACTAATATAGTTTTTTTGAAAAATATGTTAATCCTATTAAAATTTATATATTTTTTTCAATTCATGGAAAACAACCATCATGTAACCTGCTTAAAATAATTTGCCCTCAATGTTAAACCAATCAAATACTTGTTTCTGAAAAAGCCTTACTTCATTTTTCAATTCAAGTAAACATGTTAATATGCACTTCAATGAGTATTATAAATACACTACAAACATAAATCCTGAAATGCAATTCTAAAAGCCAGTTTACTAGAAGCAGCCTTTTTGATTTAAAGTGTTATATATTTAATATAATTAATATACATTTTAAATCGACATGTTGTTTCTAACTAATTTACAGTAATGCAATAATATAATTTCTATCTATGGTTATGAAGTTATTTATGTAAGAGCAATGTGATAAAAAAAAGGTTTTTCTTTAGTGAATGTGTGTATCTGTGAATGTCAAAAACTCCAGTAACTGGCATTTGGTGTAATTAAATAAAAATTGTGTACATAATAGAAATAACTTCATTAGTATCATAGACAGAAGTGAACTGCTGAAATTGATTATTCCAGTAGCTGGCTTCAATTTTATTGTGTGATAGTAAGAGGCGGGGAACATATTATAAGACGATATAAAATGAAGATTGACTACAATTAGAGTAAATACTTCATAATATTATATAACTGAATAGGTATTAAATAATGGAATTCAACAATGCTCACTAAACCTAGAAAATATTGTATAAGATATTTATCTGTGTGTTTAAGCCGGTATAACTAAAAAATGTTTGGTATTCCCAGAAAACATTGTTATATTTAAATTAATGTGACACTAAGCTACACTGTTTTGGCTCATGGAAGGTACTTTCTATTTACATGTAAATCCTAAGTATAATTATTGAGACTATACCTTCATTTTTTTCCTCTCCAGGGTATCTTTCTAAAGCATTACATCCTTTACAGAACTAACAGAAAATTCCCATTTCCTCAGCCCACTTTACACAACATGTTTGATTTCTGAACAACTCAACATTTTTAATGTTATTGTTCTTGCTTAATTTAAGAGTAAGAATAAGAAAAAACAAAACAACACAAGGTGGCTTTACGTGGCTTGTTAAATCACGCCTTTGTTTGAAACTACAAGAAATTTAAACCTCAGGGTAATACTCCTGAGTGAGATGCTGGAGGAGTGAGCTGCCTTTTTTAAAAAACGAAAAGGACTTTGTGGAAAAAGGTAATTAAAGGAACCTACACGATACTATGAAGAGCATGCATGGATTTGAAGATGTCAAAATTTAGCCACTTCCCTGTTGCTTGCTGTGTGGATACATATATAGGATTAAAAAACATGAATATCCTTGTTTTGCAGCTGTCGTGAGTGCCATTCCTGTGCCAACCCTAGAAAGTGCCCAGTATCCAGGAATCCTTCCATCTCCCACGTGTGGATACCCCCACCCACAGTTCACTCTCCGGCCTGTGCCCTTCCCAACACTGTCCGTGGACCGAGGTTTCGGAGCAGGAAAAAGTCAGTGTATTTTCCTTTTTTAAAAATTTTTATTTTAACTGACAACAAATGAATAACACCAAGGATGTCTTCTCAAGTGTGTAGCATTTTGATGTGTTGATCCCTTGGAAAGATTGGTTTACCCATGACCTGGGCACTAGAATGTTCTTTTCCAGCATAATGAATCTTTTGGCTCCTACTCACATCCTTTTGGGCTGATTTTGTAGGATCTTTCCATTGTCCTCTCCACTGACAAGATACAAAATGGTGGCGAAAAAAAAACGGATATATGGTTCAGTTAAACAATGAGTTGATGGGTGCTTGAAATTTCATTTAGCATAGTGCCCTCAAGGTCCAGCCATGTTGTCACAAAGAGCAGAGTGCCTACTTTCTCATAGCTGAACAATATTCCATTGTGTGTATGTACCACGTCTTTATTTATTCATCTATTGATGGACACTCTGGTTGTTTCCTTATCTTGATTACCGTGAATAATGCTGCAATGAACACGAGAGTGCAGAAGTCTCTACGAGATACTGATTTTGTTGCCTTTGAATACAGTATACCTAGAAGAAGGATTGCTGAATCAGATGGTAGTTCTATTTTTAATTTTTGAGGAACCTCTATACTGTTTTCCGTAAGGGCCGCACCAATTTACATTCCCACCAACAATGTAAAAGGGTTCGCTTTTCTCCACATCTTTGCCAACACTTGTTATCTCTTGTCTTTTTGATGATAGCTGTTCTAACAGTTTTAACAGGTGATATCTGGTTGTGGTTCTGATGTGCATTTCGCTAATGATTAGTGATGTCAAGCACCTTGTCATGTACCTGTTAGCCATTTGTATGTCCTCTTTGGAAAAACGTCCATTTGGTTTCTCTGCCCTTTTTTTCATTTGATTGATTGGATTATTTTTGCTATTGAGTTTTATCAGTTTTTTAAGTATTTGAATATTCACCCCTTATCAGATATGCAGTCTGCAAATATTTTCTCCCATCCCTTCGGTTGCATTTTGCATTTTCATTTTGCTCATGGTTTTGTTTGCTGTGTGGAAGCTTTTTAATTTCTTTATTTTTCTACTTGTTTACTTTTACTTTTGTTGCCTTTGCTTTTGGTGTCAAATTAAAAAAAAATCATTGCTAAGATCAATGTCAAGGAGCTTATGCCTGTGTTTTCTTCTAGGAGTTTTATAGATTCAGGTCTTAGATTTAAGTTCTTAATCCATTTTGAGTTGATTTCTGGTTTTTGTATGGCGTGAAATAGAGGCCCAATTTCATTTTTTTATGTGACAATTTAGTTTTCCAAGCACCATTATTGAAGAGGATATCCTTTTTCTATTTTACATTCTTGGCTACTTTGTCATAAATTAATTGACCTATATGTATGGGTACATTTCTGAGCTCCCTATTCTGTCTTATTGATCTATTTTTTGTGTGGCAATATCATACTGTTTTAGTTACTATAGCTTTGTAATATAGTTTGAAATCAGGAAGTGTGATGTTTCCAGCTTTGTTCTTCTTTCTTAAGATTGGTTTGGCTGTTTGGGGTCTTTTGTGGTTCCATATAAATTTTAGGATTTTTTTTCTATTTCTGTGAAAAATATCATTGGAATTTAATAGGGCTAACAATGAATCTGTAGATCACTTTGGACAATATGGGTATTTTAACAATATTAATATTTTTTAATTGATGAGCATGGAATATCTTTCCATTTATTTGTGCCTTCTTCAGTTTCTTTCATCAGTGTCTTACAGTTTTCATCATACAGATCATTCCCTCCTTAATTAAATTGATTCCTAAATATTTTATTCTTTTTGATGCTATTGTAAATGAGATCGAATTCTTAATTTTTTAAATAGTTTGTGTGAATATACATAGAAATGCAACCAATTTTTGTCTATTGACTTTGTATCCTCATAGTAGTATTTCATTTGTTTTAAGGAAGGTAGGAATGAAGATACTCTCAGCTATTATATATACCCTGGTGATTTTTCCACTGCCATATGCTTTGTTTTTCTTCAAGCACAGCATTTTAAAATCGATTTTATGGCTTTCTCCTCTTAGTTAAGAATAGGTGACTCAGCAGGTCCTGTGAGATAGGATGCTTTGTAATAGATAAGATGGTAACAGCAATAAAATGTATTTGTGAGGTAAGCTATATTTTCTCCAACAAAACAGGGACAGCTCTAAGAAATCATAAATTGCTTAGATATAGCAAGGTTGGAATTAAGAAGGCATCAAAAATCTGCCAAGAGAGAATTAGGTTTATTTTCTTCCTTCTCACTGCACATCATGTCTACAGAATAGAGTTGTGTGCAAAAACTCGAGGAAAAACAGTTCCCATATTGGAAGGAATTAAATGAGAAAGATGTGGGAAGTCCAACAACCAAACATATCCCAATCCCAGGACAATTAGGAAGGTGCTTCTAGTCAAAGAATTTAGAACCACAAGCCACTACTTCAAATTCTGAAATGAATTCTCCCCAGCAGAAAAGAGAGGTTTTTAGTTTAGTTTTCTCATTGGATCATTGTCTATTGCTTTCTTTTGATTTCATCTATGTCCTCTAACTTTAAGAAGGATGTGTAAGAAGAAAGTGTAGAATGACCTTATTTGTTCAGTCCAACAATACTGACACAAGACAAAGTTCATTACTTTTTTAAAATTAGAAATTAACTGTTTTATTTTATCATGTTATGTTCTGTAATTTCTTTTCCCAGTATTTTATTTACTTATTTTCTTTTTTCTTGATTTGGTACAGCATGCGAAACAGTCTCATTCTGTGAAACAGAATCACAGGGGAAATGATTTCAAAAGTCAAAGTTCAATGAAAAAGAAAACAGTAAATGAACTAGTATATATATATTTTTAATCTGTGATTCTGGACCACAGATCTGTTTCTATCTGTGGTTAGTCTTGTGTGCATTCCACTGCCCGACTGAGAGTGGGGTGGCTGTGCATATGTGGGAGCAGAGATGCCCTCTATACCTTTCACTCAATTTTGCTGTAAGTCTAAAACTTCTCTAAAAATAAGGTTTATTAAGAGAGAAAGAGAGAGGGAAAGAGAGAAGACAGAGAGAGAGAGAGAGAAAGAGAGAGAGAGAGAGAGAGAGAGAGAGAGAGAGAGAGAGAGAGAGAGAGAGGAATTTTAGTCTCTTTAATTGACGTTTATTTTGTTAATTTGTTTAAAAGTAGGGATTATTAAATAAAGTTAGTTGTAGAACTATTACGTAACATATACAATAGTATAAATATATATAATATAGCAATTCTATAAATTCACATAGAGAAACAATTCTTAACAGAGTGCTTACCTCGGTCAATTTTGAACCTCATCTAGAATCAAAAGGCATAGACATTCTACTCCTAGAAGGTTTCATAGATTTTTAAAATATATGTTCAATCATTCAACAAGGATTTTTGGAACAAAGCTATGTGCAGTGCAAAAGGAATAGGCACTAATGTGTGTTTCCAAGTGAACGCTTAAAAAAATAATAATTTTTTTTTCCTCTTTTCTAGGAAACTAAATATTCTGTAAATCACTGTCAGAAACAGTTAACTTCCAGCCATTCAGTATCGGTTTCTAAATGCCTTGGGGAGCACTAACCATCCCTGTTCTCTCTCAAGCAGAAAACATTTCATGACTCTGGCTAGAGATGTCGTATTAGTCACCTTGAGAAACAGTGAAAGACACACACAGGAAAAGAAAACTTTGACTGTGCAAGTGTGGAGATGCTCCTTCCTCCAAAGTGATCTGAAAACCTTTCGAGTTTTACAAGAGATTAATCACAAAAACCCTACTCCTGAAATTTTTGAGTCACACATAAAGCTGAACTTCTCTCCTACCATAAGGAAAATAAAGATATAGGATATAGCACATTTGCATTACACACATTTGGATTCGGTGATAAATCGATAACAATTTATATAGTTGTGATGGACAAATATTTCCTACACCTACCGATAAATATACTGTAGTTCTGATCTTAGCTTCAATAGGCAAATGAACTGGCCTTGGAGAATAAGGAGCAGTGCTGTAATTTGAAAACTTGAATCAAGAGATATTCTTGAGTCCAAGTCATCATAAAATTGGTGCCTCCATTTCCTCATCTTTGAAACAGGGAAATATTAGTGAAATTTAGATGACTTCCACTCTTCCTTTCAGTTTGAGCGTTGCCTTAGTTGGTGAGGAGGCTAGTCAACTTTGTCCATGTCCTTTTTCTGCCCCAGCTCTACCCCAAATTGGAAATCAGCTAGCAAATGGGACTTGACCTAGCAGTTTTTGGATTTTTCTCTGGGGTCTTTTCAGAAATGCAGGCTGTAAGGCACTGGCGTTACTTGGAACTATTGCATGATGCTGTTTTACCGAGATTGATGAGTGAAGCTTGCTCCTCCAAGTATTCATGTCTCAAAGTGTCTTTGCTTAGAGTTATCAGTGCGCTTTATTTCTTTCAAATATTGCAATTTTAGATAGAAGAAAAATCCTCATTTCCATCCTTGCAATATTTTTGCCTGTTATTCCGTAGCAATTTTTTTATGTGTTGACATTAATTATTATAAAGTGCCCTGAGATTTGACTCTGCTGTGTAAATGTATGCTATTTGTACAATGAATTCCTACTATTTCATCATTTGAAAACGAGTGCCTTTCCAGCACATACTTGATTCTCATTTGACTCTCTGAATTGCAGGGAGGCTGCACTCCACGGGCAAAAGGAGGTTTTCTTTGCTTTCAGAGCTCTTAGCACAGCTGAATGTCATGTTGTGAGCCAGTTTGTGTCACCCGGGTGTCCTGAAGCTGGTGCCTGAATGGGCCAAAGGAGCTCATCTGAAATGAGAGCTTTTCTCCAGTGGAGCAGTTGCTATTGTGTTTGTTGAAGAGTTTTCACTGCCTGAAATGTCAGCCAGCTCTGAAAAGCATTTCTTTTGCTCCATGTAAAATATAAAAATTATGACTTGCTCATGGAAAGCCTGTGCCTTGTCCATTGTGTTAGGTATCAAGCAAACTTGTCATTTTGAACAAAACAGAAACAGTCCCTTACGAATGACTGATACATTTAGTCTCAAGGATTGTCCCTCCCATGCCCACCTAACCCATTACATTAGGCGCTTTTCTTTTTTTTTTTTTTAGCTGAGCCATCCTGCTACCTGTTGGCAGCTCAGCGGCTGCTCAGCGGGGGGCTGGACTCGAACCGCTGTTGCTCAGAGCTCAAACTCTTGAGCGATCTCTTAACCGACTGAGCCACTCGGCCGGCCATTTAGGCGCTTTTCTTTTTACTATGTGTGTGGTACCAAGGATTGACTTCACTAAAAAGCTGGTCCATCAGGTATCAAGCCACCATTTCTCACTCAAAGAACAACATCATGGTGTTTCCAATGGGAATCATGGTGGCCGGGTGAAAACCTGGGGATGGAGACCTGGGCAGGCATACAGAGAAGTTTTATTAGTACAGCAATGCCATTAAAGAGAATAGGAATGGAAATAGCCCTAAGAAATTCAGGGCTGTCATCAGAATTCATGTGAAGCTTGAGGTTTTTAAGAAATCAAATTTCAGAAGGCTGAAAGAAAAGTACACATAAATTTTATTAAACCTGTGATCACAATATTTTCATGTAGGCCTCTTTCATTTCAAAAATGTAAGAGAAATAGAAAAGGGAAATATGACGGAAGGAATTAAGAGGAAAAAGACTCATTAAACATATTGTTTCTTTAATGGATAAAGCAGTTTTAAAAATCTGATGTGAATTAATTGCAATCAATGTTCAATAGAGAGAATTACTTAGAATGGATTTCTGAGGAAAATTGTAAACTTTCTTTCTCTAGACAGGTATTTTAATTTGATGATAGGGGCCCTTTAGTAAAAACCATCCCATTAGTAATGAAGGACCTAGATATAGGTTCCTGCAGCTACTTCTGTTTGATTTAGAGCAGAGAGGTATTTTATCTTTATTTGGACCAGTGACTATTGTTCATTTTCTCCTTTAGACTGAATATGAATCCAGAGTAAAACCTGCATAATTTTCTTTCTTTGTCTCTAAAACTATGTTTTCAACCACCTAGTTATACATTCTTGATTAAACACAAGTACACACATATTCCTAGCCCCTTTACATTCTTACAAGCATGTAGAATTTAGCTCCTTAGAACACCTACCTGAAGCCTCCATCCCTGTTGCCTTTATCTGAGAACCAACATCACCAAGAACGTGCCTTACTTAATGTTTTCCTTGCAGCTCTATACTTATCCTTGAAATTTTACATGCATGTGCGCCTCCCCTCCATCTTTGATAGCACTTCCTAGCGTAGAGATAAGCACTTCAGTTCAATCTCCTCCTGCCCCCAGACTTCTCTCCATTTTGCTGTGTTGGCTACATTTTTCTTGTTTGAAGAACTGTTTCATCAAGTCTTGGCCTGTTTTCTGGCTAGGGCTGCTATGTTGTTACATCCTGTCCTTAACCAACCCTTCATCTCCTCACTTCCATCTTTGAATAGGATAAGCCTGAAGTCTGCTCAGTGACCCAGGAGATCTCTAACCCTTTCTGAATGTAGAAAAATAAGTTTTAATAGCAATACCCTCTGAAGGCACGTTTTACTTTTGCATATCTTTAATATTATGTCTTGATCTTTGGTATCTTTAATCTCTACTCCCTTTAGCATTATCAGATTTTCTTTCTATCTCCTCTGCCCTTCGCTGACCTCACTGAGCCTCCCAGAAAGTTGTCTCAAAATTATCTCACAAACTAATTATCTTGAAATATTTCCTGGTTAAAAATTATCTTTTGAAAGTGAGATATTATCTTTTATCATTGCATTTTTTCAACTTACTCAGAAGAACTTTCTTAAGAAACAAATAATAAAAAATACTCTTATTTTACTAACACTTATACCTACCAAGCTGCTCTTTTCCTTTGCAGTTTAACTTGGACCTATTGACTTCAAATTTGAATTAATAAAGTCAAGTCACAGTGTCCTTAGCATGAGAAATGTCCTTGCAAATATGTAAGGCCACTCAACTGCATTCTCTGGAGAAAAAGTGTGTTTCTAGACACCAAACCGTCTAAATACCCAAAGGCTGTCACAGATGACTGTGCAAAACCTCTTCAAACTATAGCAACCTGACAGAAAATTACAAGGTTTGCTACCAAAGATGAGAAATTGCATTTCTGCATTTAGGCAACTTGTGCCAGTAGAGTGGCCTCTCATGTAACTTTTTAGCTGGACGTGCTCCTGTTTTATTATGGAAGATAATGATAGTGGTATTATTGGTATCATTTTATTAGCAATGCCTTTAACACCGGTAATTGATTTGTTTGATGGTTGGCATGACATGTTTAAATCACAGAAAAATTGGCATATTGGCTGGGAGATAATAATGCAGCTGTAGCCAGGTTTGGTACATTGAATTTCACTGACATTGCTACTTATGAAGGGAGAAATAATTCTTTCTTCTCGCTTCATCACCTATGATTTCAGGGCCGAGACAGTACAGGCAATATAGTGAGTGCTCTCTCTCTCTCTCTCTCTCTCTCTCTCTCTCTCTCTCTCTCTCTCTGTGTGTGTGTGTGTGTGTGTGTGTGTATCTTACTACTCTGCCTGAAAAATAGATCCATGACCTGCTGGATCTATTTCTATTGTTCAAAGGGACAGTGCTATCACCTCCCATAAATATATAAAGGAAGAAGAATTAGGATGCTCATAACTTGAAGAAGAGATTGGCCAGATCTGGGCATCTTGCTTTAAACTGACCCACAGTCCGTTCCGAGAATGTAGGTGCAGCCAGCTTTGTCCTGAAATAATGAATGGCTTTTCTTGCCTCCATTGCAGCAGTAAATGAAGGACCAAACACCCAACAGCCACCCATGTTGCCTGCCACGCAGCCTGAGCATCCCAGCAGTGAGGAGGCGCCCAGCAGAACCATCCCCACGGCCTGTGTTCGACCCACTCATCCACTCCGCAGCTTTGCTAACCCTCTGCTACCTCCGCCAATGAGTGCAATAGAACCCAAGGTCCCTTACACGCCGCTTTTGTCTCAGCCAGGTAAAGTGCCCGTTTGTTCACGTTTAAATTAGTTGTTATTGTTGGTGCCTCTGCCTAAGCGCATGAGGGTTCCTGGGAAGGCCGGATGCAACAGATCTTTTCAACACTGGTTATGTGCTCATGCCTGTTACTGATATTTGTACGCAGCTCTTAAGCATCTGCTTTACAAGCAACTGGCTGGTTGTAGTTGCCCTTCATTCCCTTGGGAACTTGTTCATTAATCCTGAATACCTGTCAAGTACCTTTAATATGTGCTATAGGTGTGCCCACTAGAGAATGCTGGGAAAGTTCCTGATTTTTCAGTCAGCCCTGCGGGTCCTAGGACTTAAGGTTACACTCCAAAACTAGAGTTAAAGGTATAAAGAAGCCTGCAAACCACTTTTTTGAGAAATGCATGTAAACGCATAATTCTGCTTTGTGCTTTTCAACAGTCAACTTCCAACGGTTCTTACTTCACAGTTCCAGGGACAGAAAGGTGTGTCAGACCCGTGTAGAGTGCAACTTCCTGATTTTAGAAGTAAAGAAATCAAAACTTACTTAGATGGAAAGCAGTGTCGCTATGATGCCTTTCTTTCTAAGAATATCAAATGGCAGAAGTGAGAACCCATCTCCAATTCCCAATGAGATATTTGTTTTATTACCTTGGCTGGCATCCAGGGGGGCTGAATCAGAGTGCCTTTTTTTGTTTCTTTTAGGGATTTGGAGGTGAAAGGGGGGGAAGAGAGGGATAAAAGAAGAAGAGAAAGTGAGATGGAAGAGGACAAGGGGGGATGAAGAAGGATGAGTGGGGAGAGCTAGAGGGTTAGGAAGAGATAGATAGGATGAAAAGCCACTAGAGAAATACGTAGACATAGAGATAAAGAACTATGTAGTACTTCAGATTATTTGGAATATTAGAATAATTTTTTTTAAAGATTTTTATTGGGGAATTGGGGGAAGAGAAACAAGTTGCTGTCCTTTTGTTCTTCAGTCTAGTTGTGGAGGACGTTGCTTCACTGGCCCAAGTTGGCACCATCATTGTGCTCTTCCCGGGCGAGGCAGATCAGTTGCCGGCTTCTGGACGGCCGCTCACAGCAGCTGCTGGCTACACATGGTAGCCCATGGTAACCCACTGCCACAAGGGCTGCAGTCTACGCCGTCGTCGGCGACTCTCGGCAGCCCAGCTCCAGGTTGAGCTGTTGTTCAGCATCTTAGCTGTAGAGGGCAGTGTCACTGGCCCTCATGTGGGATCCAAACCGGGGCCCTCTGGCATCCCAAGCCAGCTCCCAACCAATGCGCCACTTGGCCAGCCCTGGAATGTTAGAATAATTCTTAACCACCCCAGTTTATGAGGCATGATAGTCAAGTTCAGTGGTTCTAAGTAAATACGGGTGGCCCCCATACTAGACACGGGCAGCTGGATTAGCCAATCTGCCATTGTGCAGAGGCATTTGAGTGAGCTCTGGTTACTCAGAGCCATATCCTCAGCAATTTTAGTCACTGCATTAGGGCATAAACCTCATGGTGACTGCTGAAACTAAGGAAAATAAGATTGCAATGAGGAACATGATCTCTATATTATTATTAAGAATGTATCTTGTTCATGGAACAACGTTCATTGATTTGTGCTCATCACCCCTGGCAGTCACCATTCATGTGGTGCATCATATGGGTGCTCAGCTTCCAGACCCTGAGAAGTGGGATGGAGCACAGATGGGATGCAGGTTCCACTGCTTGAGATGCACACTGCACACCCGGCCTGGTATTCTGGATAGATGGCAGGTTAATTGCAACAGCTAAAAATAGCTAGTTACTGAACCTGTGCTCCTGTGCTGTGTGGCGGACATACTCCTGAAGGCTTGTAACATTGCCTTTTGTCCTTACCGTGACTTCGTGGGGTAGCTACTTTCTCCCCTCCCCCTCGACCCTGTTTCATGGACAAGGAAATTGTGATACAGAGAAATTAAGTAGCATCTTTAAGTCTCCGTAGCTAGTGAGTGATGCATCTCTTCCCACCTTCTGACTGCAGAAAGCATGGATTCTGAAATGTTGGGAACTCATGTGTACCTCTTAGTTTATGTCTAATTGATTAATGGTAGAAACAAAGAGAAATTTTTAAAAACCTATCAAATTAAATTCTTCTAAAACTGATTTTACAAAAGGGGTAACATCTGAAATAATTCTGAAATAACATTTTCTTACGAGCCTTTTGCTTAAATATAGTTGGTATGCAATACTATATTAGTGATGTTAGTTTCAAGTGTGCATTATAGCAATTCGACACTTTTATACCTTAGAGTGGGATCACCCCACTAATTCTAGTAACCATCTGTCATCGTGCAAACTGATCACAATATTATTGACTATTTTCCACTTCTTTACTCACATTTTAATGAGGAAAGGTAAGGGATTTAACTACCCTGTGCTAAAGAACACTAATTTTATAACATCAAAAAACTAGAACTCAAAACTTTATACTATTAACTTTTCTCTCTACTCGCAAGTAAAGTGTTTTTTTGTTGTTGTTGGTTTTTCCTTTTGTTTTTTAGTAACTGTGTTATATAGAGAAAAAAGAAAACTAAAAGTGATACTCTGAAGCCCATTTTAAATGAAACTTTTACAGTGATGGTAATGATTAATTTGGAACACAGGGTTTGGAAATCAACTCATGCTCCCAAGATCTATGATAGCAGTATGACCAAGAACTAATTTTAGAAAGAACATCTTACCAGTAGACTGAACAAAGCACTGGCATTGTTATTTACTAGTTATTATGTTCTTCTAGTTACAATATGATAAAGCTGCCTTAAAGTCTAACACAATGTAGCATAAATGAGGGTATTATGTCTTTAAAAGATGGGAAAAGAGTTCCTTCTCCTATGTCTACACCTATTGTCTCAAATAACAAGCATATCGGAAGAACCTCTCTCTGATTCAACGTGGGCAAGATCTCCTTTTCTTTTATTCTCATTGCACATGTATGAGCCTTCTTTTGTCTTACTATCATTCTTCTTTTCATTTGGACTATTTCTTACAAGCCAGCTCTTCTTTCACATCTTCCAGCATCTGTGGCTTGAGTTTTGGGGTTGATTTTGTATTTTTCATAGTTCCCCTTTAAAGGTTCCCCTCCCCCCGTCACCTTGAAACACACCCTGCCATCACTTTGAAATTATGAAATGCCTTTTCCTTTCATGTTTCTCCTTCATTGTCTCCCTGTGATTCCTGTTCATTTCATAATGTCTTACCTCATGATTTTCAAATAAGTTCTTCTTGCATTGCTCCTGACACATGGTAAATAGTATGCTTTTAAGAAAGGGCTGGTGTTTACTTATTCTAATAGAAAAAGAAAATTAGCAGACTGACAAATGTATTAGCTGTGACATTAACTACATGCTTCTCAGTCTAAAAGATAAAATACTTAGAGCTTTCACCAAATTTTAATTCTAAGAAAATCATTACTTTAGTCAAACTGATTGATGAAGCAAAGTCATTCTCTTGTCGGCTTCCAAAAAAAAAAAAGAAAGAAATACCTCAAATGATTTTTCTCTGAATTTCACAATAAAAGACTGCATAATTACTAATGAATTTATCTTTACTTACCACAAAGTAATTACTTGAGAAAATGGTAATGGGAGGCCTTGCTATAATTTTAAAAAATCATGCCAAACAAGAAGCTGCTTCTGCTTTGAAACGGTTGGAATCAGGATCAGCGAAGAAGCTCTTTCTCTGCTCTAATTCCAGTGTGTGGTTTTTCATGGGCATCCTTGATCTGTATCTCAGTTTGCCTTCCAACAAGACATGTGGAGGTATATTTGCAGCAGTGTTACATGAGGCACAGGGCAACACATATTACGCAGTAAGGATCTCCATGGATGGGCAGGGAGTTTTGCAGTATTTCTATAGCAAGTGGCAATTAAACAGCCATCCTGGTGTCACTACGGCTGAAATTCTGCCTACCTGAAAACACTGATTCATTCCTCATTTCCCCCCCCCCCTTCTACCTGCTGAGTTAGAAATTTAGCTTCCTAGAATCTAAGGTATTTTATGGCTTTTCTTACAATTTCATAATCACCCCGTGATAAAGTGGTTTCGTTTCTTAATGCTTCATCGATAGACGTGAATAACTGTGGGTTCTTGCACCTTTTAGGGAGGCTGCAGTCACTGCACTTTGCAAATCACAGAGATGGACATGTAAGTGATTCGGCTTAGTCCCCTTTCAGGTTAAATAGAAAATGTTTGATGGAGTGTTAAGCTTATGGCATTATAGATCTGACATCAATTCTACAAAGGAGAGAGATAGGGTGTTTTTGTTCTTTTTCTTCAACTAGTGAAAATTCCTCTTAGCTGTGAAATGATCAGCTGCACTTTAAATGAACTTGGATTAGGAGACCATTTGTCTTCTGGGGCTGTAATTCCAAAGCGAAAGAAAATGTGACCTCTTAAACAGTGACTTTTATCTCATCGCAGTGTTTTACAACACAAGCCCCTGGAGTCCTTGCATCTTGATAAAGCTGCCTCCGTGCTAGATTGTCCCTCATTTACGCATGGCATTTCGATACATTTTTATTTATAAAAGCAAAATACATAGAACATTCTCATCTTTTCAGTCTTCTAGGGATCAATGTGTCAGTGGACATGACAAAACCAAAATTCACTTCATTGTACTGCGAAATTGAGTTTGATTTTCCCTCTGCAAATTGTGGCCTGTGCTTCAATTTGTCTGAGGACAGAGGACAAGGCGTGGGTGGAAGGGGCTGACAGTGGACAACAAAGGCATTTGATTTATATTTCATGGCTGGTTGGGAAATCATACGTTCCTGTGATAGCCTGTTCTTTTCAACAGGCTTCATTTCAGTAAATATGCTATCACACAAAACCACCAATAAATTACTGTAATACTTTAATACAATTGCTTTTCGTGAGCCAATTGTAGGCCACTATTGGGGGTGTTCATCAGGATACCAGATGAACGTCCATTCTACTGAAATCAGTTATTGGAAGAGGTTATGCAAGATCAGACA